TTGCATACGTGTCAAATTGTTGAAAATTTGTCAATAGTTACTAATGACATCAATCAATATTTTTTATTTTATATATTTTTTAAATTTTTTTTTGACTTTTTTGTTGACATTTTTTACGAGCCCAGCTCATGGCTCGTGAACTTTAGACTCGTGGGCCAAGCCTACGAGCGAATCCCTTGCTCAGCTTGGGCTCGTTCCATCCATAGGTTAAGTTTTGACGAGCCGACGAATTACTCGACCCTTATGTCACCCCTAGATAAACTATCAATTGATGAAACAGGACTTTAAGGTAAATCTTTTTTAAAACATGTTTGCTTGTTTCTATAAAAATAAACTTTGTTTCTCATTTAAAAAGAAAAATATGTTTCTTTCATAAGCTTGGTGAAAACAAAATCTTGAATATACTTAACCAATTACAGATTTGCAGTCGATATTGTAATAAAATCTTATTGTTTGGTTTAGGGTTTTCTCAAGAAAGCGAGTGACCTTGAAGATAACGATATAAATGGTCACTACTTTCTCTCATAATCAGTGTGGTTAATAATTAATTATTCCTTGGTCAATAATTTACTTATTTCCATGTACTTTGCATCTTTGATCTTTACATTAGCTTAATTTTATAATATTAATAATGCCTTTCGATTAGTCTATTAACTAATATTAAACTGCACTTTGCATCTTTGATCTTTACATTATTACATTAGCTAATTTTATGACATTAATAATTCCTTTTGATTAGTCTATTAACTAATATTAAACTACAGTAGAAACTCCAATTGTCTGTGTCAGTATTTGAACCCTTTTCTGAGTTTTACTGTCTTTCCACACGTAGATAATATAATAAATAAAATAAAAATGAAAGCCCACCATAAAATATTAAATTCCCATTTTATCACTGTACTTTTAGGGGAAAAAACAGGTTTGAGGATGTGAAAGAGCCACGTATGCATGCAAATAAGGATTGGAAGCGAAGCGAGCAGAACATCCCTAAGTTTCTTAAAATAATAATTTTGTGTGCAGTAACTGGTAATGAAGAAACAAAGAAATATATGCATTTAAGAAGGGCTTTGGTGGGGGTATGGGTGAATTTTCTTTTGGTTTTGTCTTGGCAAATATTCTTGGGAGGTGGGTGATTTTATGAGGCTGTGGTGCATTCCTTCGGAAAAAAAGAACACTTTTCTTTTATGTCGTGCGAGTATAAGTTAGGAGTATCAGTTTGTGTGGTTCTTGTTCTTTTGTATGCTCAGCTGGAATTCAAGCTCTCTCTCTATCTCCTCTCTCATTCTCTGCTCTTTCATGCTGATAATCGGTACTGTGTCCTAATCCCCTCTTATCTACACACAGAAAGATGTGTTCACATAAGTGATTTGAATTTTCATTATCTTTTGCCTTATTGACGATTTCTTGAATTTTCTTGATGTTGATATAGGTTAAAGATTTGTGTTCATCTGATAAAAAGTTGTGATCTTGATTATTTGGGTAGTTAAACATGTGTTCTTGATGCAAAAATGGAAGTTGAAGAGCTTTTGAAAAGCCATTGGATCATCATCTTAAATTGTCTACTTTGTACAAGTATACAACAAATAGGAGGATAACAATGGAGGGTTCATCTGAGTCTGGTTGGCAGAGGTCTGATAATACATCCCATGATTCTGGATTCATATCAGGAAGAAAAGAGAGAGAGAGACCAACTGGGTGGCTCCACCACAGAACCCAGATTGGGGATCGGCCGGCGGTGGCAGCGGAGGCGGAGCCACTTGTTCCGGCCGCTGAATGCAGTGATATTAGTTTAAGACAATGGTTAGATAACCCAGAAAGAAAAGTAGATTCTCTTGAATGTTTACACATATTTTCTCAAATTGTTGAGATTGTTAACTTAGCACATTCTCAAGGAATTGTTGTACACAATGTGCGGCCTTCATGTTTTGTTATGTCATCGTTTAATCGTGTTTCGTTCATTGAATCTGCTTCTTGCTCGGATTCAAGTTCAGGTTCTCTTGAATATGGTCAAATACCTGAGTTTAAAGGTTCATCTTCACCTTTGCGCCACGAATCGAACTCCCCAAAACAGGAAGCCTGTGGCAGTGAACAGGCTGAAGAAAAAAAACATTCTTTTCCTATGAAACAAATATTGCTTTTGGAATCAAATTGGTACAGCAGCCCAGAAGAGGCTTCTGGTAGCCCACCCTCTTGTGCTTCAGATATTTATCAACTTGGGGTCTTGCTCTTTGAGGTAGGAAGTATGCAAATTCATCTGCAGATCTTGTTTAAACTGGACTTGTTGGTCTTTTAGGGGTAATTTATCAAACAATAAGCTGATACACTTTATTTAACTTTTGGACAGCTATTCTGCACGTTTAGTTCACTGGAAGAGAAAAGCACAACAATGGGTAGCCTCAGACATCGGGTTCTTCCTCCTCAGTTGCTTCTAAAGTGGCCTAAAGAAGCTTCATTTTGCTTATGGTTGCTGCATCCTGACACGAGCAGCCGGCCGAAAATGGGGTGAGTTTTCTTCCTCATAGTATCCTTTGACATATGCCCGAATTTTTTTGAGCCAGTAGGATATTGATCAAGTTCAAGCACTGCCAGTAGGATTCCCAGTTATACACATCTTTTTGGACACTGTATTTCCTTCAACAATGATATCCTACATAATG